CCCGAGCGTAATGAATTGGCTGGCTGATGGAGCGGAATTATGACCGACTCTTGTTTTACCGTAAATATGTGCTCGATTCGTCGAGGCGATCGCCGGATAATTCAGTTATGACTTTGTTTCCTCGTCTTCTTGTCGCTCGCGCTAACAATGGAATTAGCTCATCCGGCGCTAACAGAAGACAAATAGCCGAAATAGCCTAAGCGTCAATTATCATTGGGCCGGGTGTGAAGGGAGGGATGTGCGCTGTTAGTCGTGCTGTTGGCCTCGTTAATGCGTAGTTGGATCATGCGATATCGATATTCGCCTAATTCGTCAAAGTATGGGAACAATGAGGCTCTATTCTCGAGTAAATGACTAGTAGAACGCCGTGAAAATGGATGCCTCGGAAAAGTCAACGGCAAATACTTGGAAGATGGAATCATAATCTAGTAAATATAGTTATTTTTGCCCCAGATAATGATAGTGCGTGTTTGTAAGTGAAATATACAACAACAAAAAAGAAGAAAAAGAAAGAAATAAAGCAGAGAAATAAAGGTTCACTCGATCACCATAATTCTCTCTTTCTCTCTCTCTCTCTCTCTCTCTCTATATATATATATATATATATATATGAAATTTAATGAAAATATCCTTATTTATATCTTTATTTCATTATTATGCACCAAGGCATTTTGACATTTATTTTCATTATTAAATGAGATGGAAAAACATTATATTAGCTATTTATTAAGTCTATCTTAATTTATCTAATGATGCTTAATTTAGCTATGAGAGTACGAAAAAAAAAATAGCCTACATTACTATAATCTTTGTTTCTCGCCTTGAATGTCGAAGAGTTGAATTTACAGCTAATTAAAGCAAAATTACAAACATACGTTCTTATTGTGTTAATTAGTCAAAAGACGAGGAATCATTCGTACGTAGGTAATTGACAATAATTGAAAATAAACAACTTCTTTCAAGCGCAAACAATTGCCTCTTATTATTTCATTATATATTTTATATCGTTTATATATTCTATAATGATAATCGTGAATTTCATAGATAAAACGGCATCGGCCATAATAAAATAGTCGTGAGCTCGTGCACACACTACGACTGCGGAAATAGTAATTTACGTATGAATAGGCTGCAATTGTGATTTTTGCCCACGCCTGTCAAAATTTGCGGTTTAAACACAACATTATATACAAGAAAACTCAGATTCGTGGAACGATCGTGAGTGAATTTATTATTATACCTTCGGGTCTTTGGTCTTTGCACATAAAAATGAACAATAACAGATGCGGAGAAAACGAGCGGTACATAGCCACGTGTAATCAAACTTTAAGAAGACTACCTTTCCTACTACTAAAACCAAATTACGCTACTGTTGGATGCAATTGCAGCATTGTCGGCTACAATTTTGCGCTCCACATAGTTCATTCATTAAGGCGTGTGCATGCGTAAAAGCGACATGTTCGGAGAGTAAGAATTGCAGCTGATTCAATTGGAATTTCGCTCGAATCATAGAGACATTATTGCCTCGATACACAATAATGAACTGCACCGCTTCATTTGCAAATGCATAAGTCAGTTGTGTAAATATCCTTCGAGTATAAATAAGCCATTTATATATTAGATATCCAAGTGCATTGGAATTTTTACGGACAGTTAAAACTAATTCATATATATATATATATATATATATATATATATATATAGAGAGAGAGAGAAAGAGAGAATTATGGTGATCGAGTATATGAGACATAGTGAATTAAATTATAATAATATGTAATATCATTTTGAATCTAATCGGAATTGCGATTAAACATTAGGTTTAAGGCGCGTTTAACTTTGTCTCCCAATGATTTAAAAATTCAAAATAATCTCTACTCGATAAATATTTTTACTCCATAACGGACTATTGTACTTATGTCCTGCTTAAAGAAAAAAAAAAAAAGAAAAAAAAATAACGATACTCCATTATAATTTGTTTCTTCGATATTGTTTATATCCTTGAAAATTCAATTTTACTTCATCTCTTGCTTTATTCGCACGCTCATTATTTTTGTAATTGCAATAACATCTCATTAAATATAATATTATCGGATTTACTTGAAAGGAAAAGATAGATAGAGAGAGAGAGAGAGAGAGAGAGAGAGAGAGAGAGAGAGAGAGAAAAAACAAGCGTTCGATAGGCTGGACGTACGAATGACTTAGATATAGAATCATTTCGATATCTTATTAAATTGTCGTCTACTAAGCTTTCACTTTCTTCGCTGTTCTTTACTATATAGACTATCGAAAACATGAATTTCTTTCTCCATTGAATATATGCGATATCCTGCCAGTCCT